AGATTATTAGGTCAACTATTCATTACTGAGAAGCTTCGCCTTTATAATCACTGTCACTATTCACGGTTTCGAAACTTGCGATAAAAAAATGGAAAATCACTGATCGCAACCGATTGCCCTCAGAGAATCTACAAAACAAATTCAGGCCATGTATGAGATGTGCATGTACGATATCTCTACTTCGTTTTGGGCCAAATTCATAATTTCACTGCTACTGAACTTGGCTGTGAGTAGAACAAAATAGGATGCAGAAATTCGCATGAACCATTAATTCTGCCGCAATTTCTTTCACCGTTTGCTGAATGGGATATCACGAACGATCGGTGGCTGGAATTTTCACTCATCACTACCTGAATTCTGCCTAGGCTGACCAACTGTTCGTCTTACCGAAATAGTGCAACTGCCAGCAATTCTAGTCTGGATGAACAGAAACATCAGGACCCGGTTCCCAGCTACACCCTATATGAACCCAAATCTGGATTCAATTATATCAAAAATCTACGACGGACGGGAGCCTGAGTGAAGTTGGATGCGACAAATGACCGATCAACACCGAATCTTCTATACCTCATTCATTTCTGATTCTACCTTCTTCGCCATTGAAGACCTTCCCATTCTCTCGCCGACCTCCACTTCGATGGATCATCACCTTTCCCCCCACCTCCTTGGGCAAACACTCGCGATTCTTTTACATCGCTACTGCCCACCTCGTTCACGGTTGCACATTTCCTCACTTTATCTTGGAATCTGGGGGAAAATTAATTTCTGATCGGTCGTTCGTCTTTAGCGGAACTTACTTCCCGACCGTAGATTCTATGAACATTATGTAAGCTTGACTATGTTCAATGGTCAGAAAAGCCGGAAATGTTGTACAACAATCTTTTTGCATTCATGTGTTGCGAGAGCCGGTTTTATTCCTTCAGCTAGCTCTCGCAATGGCATCGAAAATAATAGGTTGTAGGGAAAGTTCTCGCGGTTTTTGACACATATCATTACCTTAATTTTTTATCAACAAGAAAACATATTAGGAAACAAAGTAATCACCATCACGTTCTATCACTCTTCGCCATTTTTCGGGCAGACTTTTGATGCCTTCGGCAAAGAACTTTTCTGGCTTCGATTCAAAAAGTTGCTCAACCAGAGCTCAACGTGCTTCGAAAAACCGCGAGAACTTCTACACCTCATGTAAATATGAATTATGGAGGGCACTTTTGGCAAAAGGATCTTTAAAGAGCAAGTGGACATACTGCAATCCATCTTCTTCATTGCCCTTCCCATTAACAAGTCTTTACTACGTCCTCAATTCTCTCTTCAATGATATTCCTTGGAGAAATGACCTTTGTCATTCAATTCGCAGTAAATTCCTTATATTATATGCGATATTTGCCAACTGCACAAGCGATCTCCAGTTTCCGTATTTCATCCAGTTACGCCCCCCTCCCGCATCCCACGTCGATGGGTTTTAATGGCAAGGATGCGACCCGTGACTTATCTTCTCTCTCTTCTGATTGAAAATCTTCCTCAAAACCTTATTTGAGCACATTTCTACACATACATACAGTTGCCTTTTCTACCCTTCTTCTACTGACTGGGCTTGATGTAACCTGCAAGATATTAGTACTCATACACATGTGTTCAATACTCGCATATCCTCTTCTTCTTTCCCTAGCGTTAGTCCCGCAACGTTCAATACTCGCATATACATACAAGAAATAAGGAGCAATTATATGGAACGACTCGGGAATCTGGACAAATCTAATAAGGACAGCTGCGGTTTTAATTAAAGTCTAAGAAAAAGTACACATGCAATTTCGCTATCAGAATAGGAGCATAGTTCTACGTATAATAATACAATAATAATTAATCTAATATAAATAATAATAATAATAATAACTAATATAATAATATACTAATCTCTTATTGTGCGCCGGAGCTCATCAGATCTAAATTTTGTTCAAAACAGAAGCCTCCAAAGTTTTCTTCCAAAGAATTTTCCAAAGTTAAAAGTCCAATAACTCAAAAAAATTTGGAGTATTTGGACTTTTGTGAGCTTTTGGAATTCTTTTGGAATAAAACTTTTGAGCTTCTCTGTTTCAAACAAATAATAATATAATAAATAAAATAATACTAACACGTGGTACGGTTCCACAAATTTGATAGCCAAGAGTTGCGCTCATGAGTTGAAGAAGAGAGGCTGAGCAGTACTCGTTGGAATGCCGCTGTCCGACATTCTAACGAGTACACACGTTGTCTAATGCGAGATCTCAAATATTTAAGTCCTTTAGTTTGCACTGTAGCTGTTGCAGCACATATGGCCAATCTCACCTTTTAGGAAGTTATGCAGCACAGAATTTAGCGCCTACAGCTTCTGCTTAAACCTGCTCCGGAGTTATTTCTGAAGACTCTTCAAGAGAAAATCAAATAATTGAAAGAGCACGATATTTTGAGGTATGCGAATTGTGGATTCATGAATTTCGGACGCTTGCTCATATTGCCGAGAAAACGTTACATAATTTCCAATACTCCACGTGCAGACATGGTTCGCTCGCAGATTAGCAGCCATCATTAAATTAGCCTGTTCAAAAAGATCCAAGCACGACCTAGTACGTAATGCAATCTGAGCCTATGAAGGGGAATAAGTTTAAGGAATCCTGTGAAAAGTCTACTCAGTCCAAAGAAGGAAGCTGTGGGTTGCTGTTGTGAGTTGGTTGTTACACGTAAATTATAATTGAAAACTATTACTAAGTAGACGAAGAAACTTGAGCTTTTTGTCTTTTTTGAATGTATTTAGCTGCAGCCTCAACAAGAAGAGACGAAAGCTCTCCGAAAGCCGGAACAGGACAAATTCTGGATTATCCACCTGTCCTCTTACCATTTCATTCTTTCGCTGATCTCCATTTCATTTCTCAAATAATCAGATTCGTTTAATAATATTATCCTGTTGATTTTCAGCAAGCTAACTTCATAGATAGCAAATAGATGCTCGCATGAAATTCTTTGGTAATTTAAGTCGCAGATCGAGGGTGCTGGTTCGATTCCTCTGGGGTGCAAAGGTTCTACCACAATTCACCATCCTTGCTATAACTTTTCCTTTGTGAACACAGACTAACAACTAGCAAACGGAGGTAAACTAAAAATTGTGATTTCGTTGATTTATGTACGTCTTCTGGTAGGAATTTCGGTCGTGTTTTCCTCTCAATTAAGCGTTCTATATAGAAACGTTGAGATATCAGTCCCACTCGTGCAAATTTCCTACGGCATATTGAACCGTTGTTCCCGTTCAGTTAGGTTTTTTCAAGCGAAGTTGTATCTTCGGCGCAATACGTTCAGCTTTGACCGAATGTTCGTGACCCGTCACGGTGGCTGCGGCGGCCTTGTTTCCCCTTGCGGCCTCGGCCAGCCCACTCGTTGAGCTTTTCCTCTGGTGTGAGGACAACACCTCGTCCCAATTGAAGTCTAATAGTGACTTCTCAGTTTCACATTCTGAGCGTATTCTGCCCCTTCGCTTCTTTCAAAGCTCTATCCAATTCAGTATGTGTTCTCCATGTCAGCATCTAACAAACATCTTCGATGTAAAGTCCGAAACATAAACTATTATACATTAGTCCCTTAAATACAGTGCCCAAAATATTATTGCCACAGCTTCCCCATAAATATGCGGTGACAACGAAATCAAAACATGTGCACCTTTGAGCCGATTGTGTTTCTTCCGGTCCCTTTTTGTGCCAAATTGAACTGGAATTTTTCCCTTTTTTTTTAACAATCTTCGATATTGCTGTGCATTCGAATGGATACCTTTCTGCTGTTTCATATTAACTCAGTGAGGTTCAAAGTTTTGAATAAGTAGATACAATAAAGATATTTTCATGTTATGTGCAAATGATATTGATACGAAATTGAGTTCCGCGTCCGTTTTTATTTTTCATCACTGTATTTCAAAGTCGATTCGTAGTGTAGCGAGATTGAATGGTGTGTGGGTGGTGTGTGTGTGTGTGTGTGGTGTGTGTGTGGGGTGGGTGTGTGTGGTGTGTGGGGGGTGTGGGTGGGGTGTGTGGGGGGGTGTGGGTGGGTGTGGGTGGGGGGTGGGTGTGGTGTGTGTGTGTGGGGGGGGGGGGGTGTGGGGGGGGGGGGGGGGGGGTGGGGGTGTGGGTGGTGTGGGTGTGTGTGGGTGGGTGTGTGTGTGGGTGTGTGTGTGGTGTGTGTGTGTAGGCAAGTGCTGAAAACGTAGATGACGTCACCGACATCAGATACCATTTTGACGAGTAAACGCCTCTCTTCTTCCATGATGCAAGAGAAATTCATACCTCTGTATTATCCCTACACTAATATATTAGCGCAACCAGTTCAATACATATCTATTACGTCTGCGTGAAATTAATGGTAACTGGTAGCGCACTTGCCCGGAAAGCGAGAGGTGCGGGTTCTAGTCCCGCCTGGGCGAAAGTTTTGTTCACAACCCAGCATTCTTGTGAAACATTCGCAAGGCGAACTGCCAAAAACAGCAGTTAACAAACAAAAACAAGTCAAAAATCATATCATTGTTTTATCGGGAAGAATGTGAAGCGTATTGAGGCGTGAAGGTGTCCCACATAGTTCTCAAATCTTTCTTTTCTCACTTTCTATCGAACGAGAGGGAAACGTTACTTGGGGCTTGACACAGAATACTCAAAAGTACGCTAACTCTGTCAAAGGGAAGCCGACTCGTTAAGCAGCCGCTTTCCGAAAATACAATTGGCTCCAAAGACACTTCAAGAGTGTTTCAATTGAGTGCTTCGGTTTTTCTTAAAGTGACCCATGTTTGCCTTTCCTTCTCCGGAGGATTCATGTTTGCCGTCATTCAGATTTGGGTCGTCATGCTCTATTTGTTACTTTTTTAACCGCCACTGAAGAGTCTTTTCAACAATGTTCCAAATTTGAAGTCACAATGCACGTTCAGAACACGCTTCAAACTCGTGTGAATCGAGCGAACCTACTCACCGATGAAGCGGAATTGAACTGAAATGCGCTTAGACTGCATAGAAAAACGATTGGCGAAAGTGTTCGGTCATTACAGGTGACTTTGTGATTTATCGCTTGCTGGTTTCCGATGGGAACAATTTCTCCAGTTTTACTTCGGTTTCGCTCAATTACTGTTTCGCTTCATTACCCAAATAAATTTTCAGTGGCCTTGTGGTCCTCTGTCCATTGCCTTTCATCGTCATTCCGATTTTTATCACCATCGGATTGTCTACGGGGCTTGTATGGCATGGACAGGCATTTATGAAGGTTTGGATTGATTACGTTACTCGGATACCTTCGTCTGTTTACCGCCGATAAATTAATGGCAAATAGATTATCAAGTGAGCATCACAAAGCAAAACCTAATTCGTCCCTGAATTGTGATGAAATAGGAATTGTGCCGTCCTACCTGACCTCTCAATTTGAACGAGTTTCATTGCGTTGCAACATTTGATAAGCACTCACTCCAGGATGAGCTCGAACTCTACACTCCAACTGATGCTCAGGCTCGAGTCGAAGTGCGCGAACTCGACTCTCTATTCCACATCAACGATTCCGATCCATTTTATGCAACTCGGAGGTAAACTGCTTCTCAACACTGAAACACCATGTCCGTTTCAAGTCCCCA